CCCGCCCTCCCGGGCCATTGCCCAAGCGCCTGCCCCGAATCCCGGTCCCCGTGGCATGGAGGCGGCGGGCAGAGGCTCAGCGACATGAGCATTTCCACTTCCTCCTCCGACTCGCTGGACTTCGACCGCAGCATGCCCCTGTTTGGCTACGAGGCCGACACCAACAGCAGCCTGGAGGACTACGAGGAGGAGAGCGACCAGGAGACCATGGCCCCCCCCATCAAGTCCAAGAAGAAGAGGAACAGCTCCTTCGTGCTGCCCAAGCTCGTCAAGTCGCAGCTGCGCAAGATGAGCGGCGTGTTCAGCTCCTTCATGACCCCGGAGAAGCGCATGGTGCGCAGGATCTCCGAGCTGTCCCGGGACAAGTGCACCTATTTCGGCTGCCTGGTGCAGGACTACGTGAGCTTCCTGCAGGAGAACAAGGAGTGCCATGTGTCCAGCACGGACATGCTGCAGACCATCCGGCAGTTCATGACCCAGGTCAAGAACTACTTGTCCCAGAGCTCGGAGCTGGACCCCCCCATCGAGTCGCTGATCCCCGAAGACCAAATAGGTAAGCCCCCACCTCGCCCTATATATATAGATGCGCATATGACACAGTAACCTCGGAGGACCGTGCACTCTGTCTTAGCTCCAGCGAAGATTTCTCTGGAGTTCAGATCAGCAGCATGCGCCACCCTGCCCCAGTCTTGGGTGGAAACTGAGCTTCTCAAAGCGGACCCCGCTTGTGCCTGACCCGGCCGCTCCCTACCAGCCTGGGAAACGCGGGAGCGGCTGATGGGAGCTGCAGACTGGTTCTGCTCAGGGATCAAGTTTGCTGTGCCAGGGCCTGGGTGCCCCGTCTGACTTGGGGCTGTGTGTATGACACGACTGTTGAGGGGTTTCTGAAAGCGGCTCTCTGCGGGCTCCCCGCTGCCCTCGGAGAGGCAGTGGGCGCTTTGCTCAGCTTTGTTTGGGAAGGACTTTTTATTGAGGTCTAGCTTACATTCAGAAAGGTGCACAGATGACAGTGCAGCTCAGTTACGGAGGGCATGGCCAGCGTCCAGAAGACCCCTGCCACCCCTGGCCCAAAAGGGTAACCACCCTGCTGCCTTCTAATCTTACAGAATTCAGTGACAAGCCCTGTTTTGGAGTAAGAAATTAAAAAGTTTATTTTGTGTACCTTTAAAATAAGTAACAATGTGGAGGTCACATGAAAGGTGTTTTCTCTGAAGTCAGGGGGAAATACTTTCTTTATAACCTCATGGAAGGGCTAAATTGGTGGTTACTTTGGCCAAGGAAAATGTGAATTTGGCAAACACTCTATTTTTCCAGGGCGAGAGTGTTGAAGGGATTTTTTTTTCCCTCTCCCCAGAAAGTTGACTCTAAAAGACTAATTTCAGAAACACCCAAAATAGCTATCACACACTTCCCGGCAGTTCATAAAGCTAAACACAAATTTCTTCTTTCTGATTGGGTCTGTTTGTCAAAAGTAGTAAACAATATACAGTAGAGAGTAGCGCCTCTCTCTCTCTCCCTCCCTCTCTCTCTCCCTGTCTCTCTCTGTCTCTCTCTCTCTCTCTGAGTGAGTTTCAGCAGTTCTTTGATTTTTCTCACAACGGAATCAAAGCCTTGTTTGTTTTTCTGTGGTTTGAGCCTGGATCCATGAGGCGTGGTTAGAGCTGAGCTGTTGCTGAAGAGAGAGAGAGGCTGGAAGGAATGTGCCCTTGTGATGTGTCTTAGAATTGGAAAAGTCTTCAAGGAGAATCAAAATAACCACACAGACCACCTCTCCCCCCGACCCTACCCCACTAGATCCTGCTTCTCAGGGGAGACCAGCTCAGATGTAATGTTAACAGGGACCCAGAACCTACACCAGAAGCTTCCCCTGAGGAGGCCCAGGGGGAGAGCAAGGCAGGCGCTGATGTCAGCCCTGAGGTATGTGGCAGGCATCGCCAACCAGCCTGCAGAGACAAGGCTTCCAAGGGGACAAGGGCCTTCCCTTCCTTCCCTGCTGATGTTGTCAGCACCAACCCAAGACTGGCCCCAAGAAGCTCTTCTGCCAGCTTTTTTTAAAATCCACACCCGAGGATATACGTGTTTTTTAAATTGCTTTTGAGACAGAGAGAGAGAGAGAGAGAGAGAGAGAGAGAGAAACATAAATGTGAGAGAGAAACATCGATCGGTTGCCTCCTACACCTGCCCTGGCCCGGAATTGAACCCACAACCTTTTGGTGCATGGGACACAGCTCCAACCAACTGAGCCACCCAACCAGAGCTTCTACCAGTTTCTTTTGATGTGAAGTTCAGATATGTCACTTGCTCTTGGAGTGCAAGGCCTCAGTTTCTCCAAAAATAAATACACACTGTGCTGCTTCAGGAATATGCAGCCTTTAATTTAAACTCTAAGGTCATATACAAGAAGGGAGGCCAAGATTCAGTGAAAAACGTACTATCATAAAAAGATATTTATGTTGACTTAAAAAATAACAAATGCTCATCTTAAAAATTATTCGTAATATACAGAGACATATAAAGAAGAAAATAAAACCCTGGGCAAGTTCCACTGAGCTAAAAACAGCCACCACACACACACACACACAAAACCTGCTACTCTCAATGGTTGTGTCATGGAGAATTTGCAGTCTGTTTGGATTATCCTTTAAAGCACTTTCACCCCAAAGCCCCGCCATTTAGAGGTTCTTGAATAAATATTAGCTGGCTGGCATCAGCTTCACTATTCTGGTTGGAGAATGAAGCCAGTGAGGATAAGAGGTGCGTTGCCATGTGCGCCCCTTCTCTGCTCATTCCAGGGCCACATCCGGGGGGGGCAAAAGTAGGTTTACAGTCATGAGTACGCAAAAGACGGAATTTATTCTTTTATTATTATTTATTAATTACTGTATTATTTTCCGTACGAACAACTGTAAACCTACCTTCGCCCCACCCTGTATTATGTTTCCCTTTGGACAGTTATCCACTCCTCTCACCCCCACCTCTCCAAAGTGGTACATTCAGAAGAACAAACAGATGCTCTAACGAAAAGTGTGCACAGTTTCGGGTCCTACTCAAAAGCCCTGGGATCGGTAGCATCATCAACAGAGTGAGGTGTACTCACTGTTGGTGTGTCCCGCCCAGTGAACTACAGACAGGGTGACATTCCTCATCGTTCCAGCACGTGTTTGTCATTGGTGAGTCTTTATATCATACCACTCTTTTCAACCAATGGGGAAATGAGTCCAAAATTACTGATAGTAAAATCTCCACTATGCAAAACAAGTATTATGGTGGTTAGTGTTTTGATTTTATTCAAGCAAAATAATTTTTATTTCTCATTTGATGTTAATCATGGAAAATCCCTCTGTTTTCAAGTCTTATTTCCAGAAAGACAAAATTTCTACAACTCCAAAAGTGTTACTAATCTCAGATTTTCTATTTTACTTAAACTGCCCACCACAGACTATCAATGATACAAAAAAGCCAACTGTTTGTATTCATAAAAGTCAATAATGAAAAACAAGACCATGCTGTTTTACTTACTTTAATGGCTGTGTACTAAAATGTGTCATTGTTTGAAGAAAAGTCTTCTTAAACTGAATTCCCACATATGTCAAAGAGAATGTCAACTTACATATATTTGTGTGTTTTTAATAGAGAAATACTGAAATGTGTTTAGATACTAGAGCCCATAGTCTAAATAAGAAAGGGGTTTGAAGGGATTTCCTAGGAGTTAAACAATTATAAACACTTTGCTCCAGGTGACATTTTAATAAATGGTTAAGTCTGGCTCAAGCTTTAATATCTAGTGTCACTTGTTTTTAATTCACAGTTTGGTTTAAGCCCTTGAGTTATTATGTGCCCTTTTAAAGATAGTCATTCCGAGAGATGCAACCAGAAAGGCATATTCATGCCAAGTTGCGATCAAAGACTTGGATCTGACTTCTGATCTAGTCTAGTCCATGTCACCATATTGCTGGGAAGGCTCGAACCTCCTGGTACAGTTTAGAAGGGGTGGAGAGAAAGGAGAAAGATTGGCCTTGCAGCATATAGAAAGAATGCCTATATTATTTCTGAAAATCAGTTTAAATAGATAAAAGACCAGCAGCAAGAAGACCACCTCTCTTTCCCATGGGGCATGGGGGAAAAGTCTGGCTCTCTAGAAGTCTATGCCCTAATGAAGGCAACAAAGGACGCTGAGTTCACAGGAAGGGGGAGGAGCGGGTGGAGGGGTGGGAAAGGCAAGGAGCCCCCCAGACAGGGAACAGCATGTGGAGAGGCACAGAGGGCCGCGGTACTGTTGGCTTCAGCAAGAACATGGGCTGTTTGCGGGGCACGTGCTGGGAAGAAAGAATGCGAGCAAGGCAGGGCGCATCCCCAGGATGTGCCTGAGTCATTAAGGTAGTGGAGAGCATTTTAGAAAGCTCACGCCAGCGGAACTCCAGCAATCTCTCCAGCCCAGATCCAACCAATCCAATCAGACGCTGGCCGTAAACACCAGCAGACCAGCGTGACAAGCCAGGGTGCCAGGGGCCGGGAGCGTGCCTGGAGTGCGCAGACACAGCAGGGAGAGCAGTGCGACCTGAGCGCTCCCAACCTAGTAGAGCAAAGCAGTGGTGAGCCCACCCACCCTTCATTCTGCACTCCTTCTCTTCTGAAATGGGGCTGGGGGCTCTCGGTACCCATCACTTTGAAAGATGCACAGCTGCCCAGGATGATCAGCTCATCTGTGGGTTTGAGCTGTTGGACAGGGACAGAATGAGGCTGTGACAAAACACAGGGGGTTTCAGGGCAAGAAAACCCAGAGGGCCAGACTTCAGGTCTTCTGTCTTTGTACCGATGGGTGGGAGGGGCTGAGGGAGAGAAAGACCCACAGGAAACTAGGTGGCTTTTCAATTAATTTTTCAAAGCACTTTCAGTTCCCATTGCAAACCAAGCAAACCACAGTTGACAGAGAAAAAAACAAAATAAAACAGACCTTGAATCATTAAACCTGGTGTCCCTTCTCAAAGGCATATACACCACACATTCAAAAGGAACAGAGGGAGCCCTGGCCCGTTTGGCTCAGTGGCTGGGGCATTGGCCCACAGACTGAAGGGTCCTGGGTTTGATTCTAGCAAAGGGCACATACCTCAGTTACAGGCTTGATCCCCGGTCCCAGTTGGGGCGCATGTGGGAGGCAACCAGTCTATGTGTCTCTCTCACATCGATGTTCCTCTCTCTCTCTTTCTCTCTCCCTCTCTCCCCCAATTCCACTCTCTCTGAAAAGCAATGGAAAAAAGATCCATTTTTAAAAGGTGAGAATTTAAAAAAAAAAAGGAACAGAGGGAGTCAATGGCTTTTGCCCACTGACTAGGTGTCAGGTGCATACGAGGTGCTCCTTGTATGAGCTCTCACCCAGCCCTCCCAGCAATCCAGTTCGGAGCCTCTGGTCCCATTTTACAAATGAGGAATCTGGGGCCTGGAAAGGTCATCTTGAACTTCACATCTGACCCGAGGGCCACTGGGACACCCGGTGGTGGGCTTTATGAGTACTTTGTACAGAGGATTAGCAAAATGCTGTTGTGGCTGCCTGGG